GAGGCGTGGGAGGGAGGGGGCGCGGGGGCTGTGGGGTGGGAGCGGCTTGGCTGACCATGACATTGTCGAGGCCGTGAGGAAGGTGCACGGCCTGGAGAAAGTCGCACTTAGGCTGCACAAGGTCAGTCGACACACATACACGTCGACACTTGTGATTGATTATGTCCGTCTCCCTCTCTATCAGGGCGAGGTGTCTGCTGGTCAGTTGCTTGAGATGCTTCAGGACGGCAGCCAAGCGCTCTCTCGACTCAACGACCTTATCTCCACCCAGCAGCTGCGCATTGGCCATGTGATAGATTTGTGTGCTGCCATCCGAGGAGTGACGGGCGACCCTCTTCTGGCCTCTTACCGCGAAGATGAAGAGTGCAGGGAGCTGATTGAGCTGCAATCACCAGACATGCTGTACGAGGCCCTCAGCGAGGACCCCAAGCTACATCCGCTGGCCACTAGCCTCAAAGAGGTGAGCACAATGGTACACACACATACACACACGCGTCCGTGTAGACCTGATTTCGTTGCGGTGTGTGCAGGAGCGTGTGTCTGGTGTTGGGGTGGTGAGGTTAATCCGGCTGTGCAGCGGCGGTGTGCGGGACATCCGTGAGCAGCGATTCCTTGAGAGTCTGATGCTGTCCCAGCCAGATGGCCTTCGTGTGCGCGTCTTCCAGTGGCATGTGCGGCTGATCCTCTCAGCGCTGATGAAGCATGGCGTGTTGGAGCCGGCCAGGCAGTGAGTTGGATAGGTGCAGACAGACAGACAGACAGACAGGTGTGTGTAGGTGTGCGGTTGGGATGTCTGCATGTTGACGAGTGAGTGAGAACTACACTGAGTAGGTCTTTGTCGAAAGGTACATGGGTGTGCATGCAGCATGGCAAATGTTCATCGTTTATTGCGGAAGGGACTCGATCCATGCGAGCTCGTGTGGTAGCGGAGAAAGATCTGTGCATGCGCAGGATCGGTGCATGCGCGTCTGGACTGCTGATGTCAGTAAAGCGATGGGATTTTGGAGGGCATTCCATGGAGCCATAAAGAGTTCCACTCAGAGTGCCAATGAAGGTGAAGAGCATCTCACCAAACACACCACTCATGCAAACCATGGCGTGAAATAATCCCATTGCAAAGGTCAACGTACAAGAAATGCAAGCCGTTTCGGTCCATGCTGGCTGGTCAAGAGCTTTTGAGCCTGCTGAGGATCCACTAGGTCAAATGAAGGCTCTCTGCACCGCAAACAGGCGCAAAGAGCAGCCAAACCGGAAAAGTGAACGGATTAAGCAATATGACCTCGCCTGCGGCAGCAGCCATCCTCTCTGCCTCTGTGTGCCTCTCTCTCTCTCCTTTAATGGAGAAAAAACTGTGGCGAGATTTTTGAGAGCTAGAGACAGACCCTGAACTTTTTTCATCCAGTGTGCACATTTTTCCCGCCTTGGGCTTTCCAGTCTCATTTCGGCCACAGATCCTCCAGCTTGTCATCTTTTCGGCTGCTTTTTGGCTTGTGTTGTCCGCCCCATCTCCCTCTACCCCTCCCAACTCGTCGGGATTTTTTCCGCCGCTTTTTTCCTCCACCTCTCTTCCCCGGGAGAGGCCTTGTTTGGTGGTGCGCTGCCTTCTGCAGAGCGGCTGGCAGTACTGCCTTGCGCCTGCCAAGTGCGCATGCGCCTTCTTTTCCCACAAACCGATCTCCAACGGGCGAGCACATATGAGTGTGGCCTCGTGCGTCACGTCTCTTGGGTGTCGTGATGGTGTGGTGTTTGGACGAAGTGCAGGGATGACTGCATGGAGCATTTCGTTGCCATGGGTATCTTCAGATGCCTCCTTTTGTCATGCCTGTGTGTGCAGATGAAATAGTGATTTCTTCTTCTCGCTTCCCGTCTCTCTTTCTCCACACATTACAAAAAACGAACAGGCAAATACAAAGGCAGAAGGACAAGATTGTACTTCTGCAGACTGCAAAATGGCCCCCGTACAACCTTTCTCCGATGGATTCCGGGGGAAGTACGTGGGAAGTGCGTTGTGTTGGTCCCGCACCGAGGTGGCAGTAGGATGGCGGTTGGTGAGCTGGGGAAGGTGGGCAGTCGGGAAATGCCCCTACAGGCAAATTCGACAAGTAAGACGGAATGACGCCAAGAGACACACATGAGCACACGCCAACATTCTCTCTCAGCATGCGTTTCGAATGGCACACAGCAATTTATTATCTTGTCACGGAGGTCAACATGGTACCCAGAATACCTCTCATGGGCCATATTCTGCTCTCTTGTGGTCGGCTCCTCACCAGCAAGGGACCACACACGTTGGGGCGGGCCAAACCCTCTTCATGGGCGCATTCCTGTCAATTTGTGTTGATGTGTCCCCTTGTCTTTCAGTTCGGGGCTTTCGCAAGCTCATATCGATCGGCCTGCACCACCCCATCCCCATCGAGGACGGCCAGATCCTGCTCGACGTGGTCAAGATGAACCTCAAGAGCAGCATCGTCGACGGCTACATGGCTGAGATTCGCTTCCTGACGGACAAAGGGCGGATCATCCGGAAGTCCATTGACACACTGGCAGAGAAATACGGTGCGGGAACAGCCGAGGGGAAGGCAGGGTTGGACGTGTGTTGTGTTTGTGTTGTATATGGGCTTCCTCAGAGTCTGAGATGGAGCTGCTGAGCATGGCTGAGATCGTCACGAAGACTGGCAAGGAAGACAAAGACAACACCACATGTGGGGGGGCAGGGAAGGGGAAGACAAAGGAGGGAGGGAGCATTGGGTTCAATCTCTCTCTCTCTCTCTCTGTCTCTGTTTGTCAGGTGCATCTGACAGGACGACTTCGGCAGCAGCAAGGCACCTGCGCAGGCTCGCCCTCGGAAGAAGAAGGACAAGAGGGACGGACATCTCGGTGAGGCGAGCTGTGAATAGTGCAGTGTCACGAGTGGTTGTTCCGTCATGTCTCTGTATGTTTTCCTGATGTCTCTGCGCAGGCACGGACCAGGTACAGTTCAGCGCCAATCCAATAATGAGGGATTGGCACAGTCAAGAGCAATGGTGGAGAGCCGG